TCTTTTTTTTTTTTTTTGGCAGAACCAGGGATTGAACTCAGGGCCTTGCGCTTGCCAGGGAAGCTCTTAATCCACTGAGCCATCTCCCTGGCCCCATAATTTTTTTTTTTGGCGGAACCGGGGATTGAACTCAGGCCCTTGTGCTTGCCAAGGAAGCGCTTATTCCACTGAGCCATCTCCCCGGCCCCTATTCTATAAGACAAAGAGCTACCAAACCGTGTAACAAGGTAGAGGGTAAAACCATACCAAACCTAACTTCTCTTTGAGAGGAAGAAACAATCAACTTACTAGGGGAGCCAGGAAGATGGCGCAGTAGAACAAGTGCTTCCCTAGCAAGCGCAAGGGTCTGAGTTCAATCCTCAGTTCCACAAAAACCAAAAACCAAAACAAAAACCTCACTAGGGGAACAGTGGCCTAACAAGTAGAAAGGAGGCTGAACAACCTGTTTTTGCCTTCCATAAATAAAATCTGGCAGGCATATAACCCAAGAAACACAAGTCAATATAAACCTTTATATGCTGGGCTGCCAAACTTCACTTTTGGACAGTTTATTAATTATGTAGTCAATAACCATGGGTTTCATTAGTGTATTAAATACCACGATCAATATTATTTATATTTTTTTGAATACAGGCCACTCAGGAAAAAGTGGGGGAGGGGAACAGGCTTTTGACCCTGTAGTTCAAAAAAGTCAGAGCAGCACACTAGAGATTAGCAAGGCCTTAATGGAAAGCATAAAACACTGAAAATATGGACAGAAATCAGATTATTACCTTTTTATATTTTCTTCTACCTCTTTCACAAGGAGACGGGAGGGAATTCAAGAACCATTTAAAATAAGGCAAATGATTAGATTTTTTCCCCCTAATTGCTTAACGCTGATGTCATGCTGCACATAAAATAAACATTGATCTCTAAGCGAAAGATAAGAAATAGAACATGAACAGCCTTTTGAGGTAAACTATATCCAGGAGAATTCTACAAACTGTGGGCCAGAATCTACTTAGGCAACCCTCTGGGACCTAAATCTCTTAAAAGCACAACAGTGGAGCCAATTTCTGAGGCAGCTCCGCTGGTGATGTGATTTTTTAGTAGGGAAATCTGTTAAACATCCTCCCTCCAGGGAGCCCCCCCTCCTCCTGGAGTTCTAATCACATCCATGTAGATGTGCTGGTTTTGTCACTACCACTGCGGAAAGTGTGGGAGTGGCCCAAGGCTCTCTGGAAGCTGGCGTGGCTGCTGGTCAGTCCTCACTGCATAGACAAGGCACACCAGGGAGAGGAGGGAACACAGGAAGTAGTAGATATAAAAGACCAGTTACCAGGCTGAAGACTAGATTACCACGTCCAACCCACAATTTGTCAATCCAGAACAGTGTTGAAGACTGTAATTTTCTAGTCAATGCTTTATAAGGTCAGACAGGAAAGAGCTTCTATAAAAACTGTGATCTAGCAGAATCAAGCGCAGCCCAATTCCCATCCCAAGGCTAGGGAAGGGTAAGGAGGGAGGCGTCCTGACCGTCAGTGGTCCAGAGGGATTCCTGTCTCTTCTTAATCATGGGACCATCCTGCCTAGGGCTGCCACCCTACTCCAAAGCAGACAGACAAGGACCAAACAGATCACGCACCATCGTTCTTTGGCTCCACAGAGCCCTACTAAGGTGCACTTGCATGAATTAAAAACCAGGGCCTATAGTTGCAGGGGGGACTACAACACCGCCTGGCTACTTGAGAGGGATGCGCAGCACATGCCAAGCAGTGGTTTGCAGCAACCGGATAATTAATATGATTAGGAACACACAGAGTACGTGTGCTCTTGCTGACTGAAAAGCCCAGCAGCATAATTACTGTTTCCTTACTTGCTCACTGTCTGTATACATTTCAAAGCCTGGCTGCTGTTAGACTGCTGTGTAAACATCAATAAAATCCCAAAGTGCCAGATCATCAACATTCTTGGGCACAATGGCTTTTTCTTTTGTGTTTTCATTCTTTTAAAGATGCATTTCAGGGTTGCAAACATTAGGGAGAATGATCTTCAGGCCTTGAACTAATCCGAGTCTATAATGAGTTAACATCTCTCCCAAGTGAACATTTATTATGAAGGCTAATTAATTGCTTTCCAGTTTCGAGAACCCTTCGCATGGAGAAAGTGGGATTCATGAGCAAAGGATATACTGTTTATTAAAACAAAGCACAGGGAAAAAAGGACTCAGCCTTTTAAAATCCTTTTTAACATATCTTTAATCAAGAAGTAAAACATAAATGCAAGAAGTACGTACAGGTAGGAAAAATGTACAGTCACCAAACGAAATGCAACATTAATTGAAGTGGAAACTCAAGCACTGCTTTGTAGTTGCCTGGATGTCCCCAGGGAGCAGCAAGTCAATGCTTATCAGCCATCCTCAGAAGAGACAATTCTGATTAATATCAGACCTATCTGACTCAGTCTATTAAATCTATTAAACCCTGAAGGAAGGATAGTCTTCAGATATAAAGATAAGCCTTTGATTAATAATTCTGCCCCATTGCCATTCCAAGCATTAACAACTACATGGCACCTCTAGAAGAGAGTGCCTTTGAATTCTAGGAAGACGCACTTCCTCAGTATGCGCCCCCAAGACTCCCAGGAGGAGCCCAGTTGTACAGGTGTCACCACTGCAGAAGCAAAGCCCTGGCAACATAGTATTTCCACTGTTTGCGGAGTTGGGGTCAATTACTTGTGACATAATTCCTGCTTGAAGATAATGAAATCTTACTAAAATTGACAGAAGCCTGAAGACAGAGGGAGGGCCTGGGGCTCTGCTACCTGTTGTGGACTCCCAGGGCTGATGGTTTACACCACCGCTCTTGGAGCACAGCGTCCTCTCTCTACCAACTGCCCAAGGTGCTTGCAGAGGGGAAACTGAGGTGGGAAGAAATCAGCTCTGTTTCAGCTGTTTTCAAACTTCTGCCCAGTGCGTGTGACTCCTCACATCCCTGCGTTTCTTCTTATGTTGGTGATCAGCCTCCTGCCATAGTCTCTGTAGTCCACAGGCTTCACATCCATCACGGTGGCCTTAATTCGAGACTCATCCTTTGAAGAGAAGAGTGGTCTGTCAGTGATGGGCGCTCCAGCATGGAGCAGCAGCGATAACCCTCTTTGCTTCTGTGGGTTCAAGGGGCCCAGCAGGAGCAAAGGGACATGTTGGATTCAGAGTTCAGCAGTTCCCACAAAGAAAATACTGGGAGCAAGAGCCTAGCAGAGAACCTCCAAGGCTGGGACAGCAGCCAGATGCCCTCTGAGTACGGGCTCTTTCCCCGAAATGAGTGAACCCGGCAGCTGGCAACGGTACTGGCAAGAGTCTTCCTGTTTGTATATTTAGCTCTGTGGGTGAAACCGAGCCTTTAAGAGGCAGAACAGGGTGATGCCCAGAGGCTACACGGTCTGGCCAGGGGCCATCACACCTCTGCATGACCGGATACGCCGAAGTTTACAAGCACGGATAAGAGGAAAGCTTAAACGCTGGACTGCCTGGATCAGAACCTTAGCTGCACACTTGCTGGCATATGATTTTTGGCTGCAAACCCATTTCCTGAGTGCCTACATCTTTTCATTGGTAAATGGAAGGTAACAATAGTTCAATTTTGAAGGTACTATAAGGATCGAGTGAGAAAACATGTCAAGGATGAGCACGACAGTGCTCAGTAAATGTTTAGGCTGCATGGCATCTATTATGGCCAAGTGAAGGAATTTTCAAGGTAATTTTAATAGCATGTGGTCTTTGTTTCATACACTGATTTTTTTCTAGAATCTAAATTTATGGGAGATAAGGCCAGGTAGATAGCTCAGTAGAATAAGTGCCTGCCTGGCAAGCACAAGGTCCTGAGTTCAATCCCTGGTACCGAAGGGGGGGAAATCAATAAATTTATAGAAGATGGAAATGTGCTACACACACTTTTTTTTTTTTTGGTGGAATCGGGTCTTGAACTCAGGCCCTTGTGCTTGCCAGGGAAGCGCTTATTCCACTGAGCCATCTCCCTGGCCCCCACACACTATTATTTTTGTTTGAATACAAACAAAAGACCAGGTTTCAACAGAAAAGGCCACAGAGCACTCCACCCTAAATGCTTAGACAAGACACTGAATTTAAGTCATCCGAAAATGGAGTTAGTAACTGTTCTGCAGCACAGAAGATTTCGTGAGTAATGGGCTCAAGGGCTCAGCACGGGGCCTGGCACCAGCCGGTGACTGCCCAAACTGGCTCTGGAATGCTGCTGAGGGGTTCCCCACCCCAAGCCCTGTACTCACATTATAGGTCTCCAGTTTGACCCTGATTTTGAATGTGAAAGATCGAAAGTTGGCATGCTGGAAAACTTCCTCAAATGCCTGCTCGTTCTACAAAAACAAATAGAAAACTTCACACATGGAAACTACCAGGCTATCTCAGAAATACCTATAAGATTTTTAAAAAGATATTAAGAAAATGATCACCCCCAGTTGCTTGACATTATTAGGAATGACTAATTTACAGGTGATGTCCACAACATACAACTATTTAAGGAGAGTTGCAATATAAATGAAAATAATCCGAAGTTCTTCCCCAGTGTCCACGGGGGCTTAGGCCCAGGACTCTCTCCACCCCTGGGGCACACCAAAATCCAAGGATGCTCAAGTATATGCCCACAAGAGCATGGATCTTTCTGTCTACTTTAAATCTGGATTGTTTAGCAGGCCTAACACGAAGTAAAATGCATGAAAATGATTGTTATCCTGTACTGTTAGGCAACGATAACAAGAAACAAAATTGGTACATATTTAGCACAGACACAATTTTCCCCCTAAAATGTTTTAAATTCAGAGTTGTTTGAGTTTGCAGATGCAGAGAACCGTCTGTAATTAAATTCACAGAAGCAAAATGGTGGTTGCCAGGGCCTGGGGGATGGGAGGAGTGGGGAGCTGTTTATTTAATACAGAATTCCAGTTTGTGAAGATGGTATTGGCCATAACTGTACAACAATGTGAGTGTAATTAACGCTACTTGATTGTATGTTTCAAAATGCCTATAAAGGGGCCAGGAAGATAGCTCAGTTGAATAACCGCTTGCCTGGCAAGTGCAAGGGCCTGAGTTCAATCTCTGGTTCTGCAAAAATAAGCAAACAAACAAACAAACAAACAAACAAACAAACAAAATGCGTACAAAAATTGGGTGTGTTATCACACACTTGTACATGCCTATGTTCACATTATTCTGGGAGGCTATGACAAGAGGATCAAAAGTTTAAATCCAGTCTAGGCAACTTAGTGATACCCTATCTTAGTGACACCCTATCAAAAAATATAAAGGAAATGGAGGGTATTGCTCAGTGTGTAGGCCCTAGGTTCAACCCCCAGTACAAAATAGGAAAAAAAAAAAAAAAAGATACACTTATGAATTTTGTTTATTACATACAATAATATAAAAATCATTCTTAATAAACCTTTCCAAGACTTCACTGTTTTTTTTTTTTGTTTCTGTTTTTCATAACTGGGGATTGAACTCAGACCCTTGCATTTGCAGGCAAGCACTTATTCTACTCAGCCATCTTCCCAGCCCCTCCTTTCTAAGACTTCAATTGTGATGGAACGGATCTAAAGCCTAGCATCTTTTTTTTTTTCTTTTCTTTTTTTGGCGGAACTGGGAATTGAACTCAGACCCTTGTGCTTGCCAGGGAAGCACTTATTCCACTGAGCCATCTCCCCTTTTGCTCCAAATGCCTTCAGGGCAGGTTTGGCTGGCTTGAGTTGTGGGGATCGAATCACAGCAACCTGAGCCTGACGGCTTTGTTGAAGCAGCCACTTAAAGAACTGAGCTAAGGGGCAGGCCCCCCTAAGGCCTAGCATCTTGATGAATTAAGAAATGGGTGGGATGGCTGGGAAGATAGCTCAGTGGAATAAGTGCTTGCCTGGGAGGTGCAAGGTCCTGAGTTTGATCCCTGGTACCACACATACACACACAAACAAAAGAACTGGGTGGGAAAATACTCAAAAAACTACAAATTGTCCTATAGTTCACTGTTTTAGCCTCTTATAGCTGCAGGTGTGGTGAGCAAGAAGAGAAGATAGGTGAAGTGCACAAAGGTCAGGGATGGACTAAGAACACAGTCCTCTCCTTCTCACACCCTTGAATGTTACTTGAATCTGGATGCAAATGAAAGAAAAAAAGAAGGGCCAGCGAGATAGCTCAGAGGACTAAGTGCCTGCCTAGGCAAGTGCAGGACCTGGGTTCAATCCCTGGCACCACATGCCAAGCTGGCCACTGAGTCCGGGTGTGGTGGCACACACCTGTAATTCCAGAGCTGGGGAGGCTGAGATAGGAAGATCTCTATGAGTATGAGATGCATAGTGAGATCCTATACCAAATACATTAAAAAGAGAA